CTTAAGTAAATTTGATTTTTTCTTCTTTAAATGAGTATGTCATTAGAGAGAGAATACTCAATGAATATTTGTTTGTTTGTTTAAAGCATTATCTTATTTTTCAACCAAAAATCTCCTAGAGTACCTAACAAAATAATTCTCTCTCTCCCTCTCTATCTTTGGGTGTCTTTGTATCCTACATTTCCCCCAGGAGATCAAGGCACTCTAGATACAACCCCCCTCCTCCCATTCTTTACTAGCCCCACAATCCTATAAAAGTGCTACGAAACTGACCAATGTAAATTCTCCCACTGCTAAAGTTATACTTCACAGACTTTGGAGTTTTACACAATCATTTTAACCATAACAACAAGGAAGAAATTGGAATAGAGGAATAGAAAAAAAAAGAAAAGAGTTTCTGGTTGGTACTTGTCAATGGTGAATTGAAATATATGCAGAGTGCTCTGATTGGACATAAGCATTCTTTCAATCCTGCAGTCCTCTTTTAATTTATGTAACATTTGCCTTGTATTTTTCCTTTTTGTGCCCAGTATGCATCAAGCTATATCTTCACTATTTTTATCTAATAGTATCTCTCACCTCTGATTCCTTGCAGATGTGGCATTCATCTTAGCCATAGGTTAAACATGGAGAATCAAACCACTGTGCCTTATTTTCTGCTCCTGGAATTCTCAAAAGATCGGCACCTGCAGCTTCTACATTTCTTCTTATTCTTCATTTTATACCTGGCAACTGCCACAACAAATCTGCTCATCATCTCTGTAGTAGCTTTTGACCATCGACTACACAGCCCAATGTACTTCTTTCTACTGAATTTGGCACTGCAGGACCTGGGAATTGTTTCAGTCATTGTCCCGAAATCCATGATAAATTCTCTTATGGATACCAGACATATCTCTTACTGTGGTTGTCTTGCACAAGTCTTTATCTTTCTCTCCTTTGCAGCTTCTGATTTCTTCCTCCTGACAGTCATGGCCTATGATCGATATGTTGCCATTTGCAATCCACTGCATTATAAGATGGTGATGAATTGGAAAGCCTGCACCAGAATAGTGATTCTGGTGTGGTTCACAAGTCTTCTCTATGGAATGTTGCATACCACTGGGACCTTTTCCACCCCTTTCTGTTCTAATGTTGTCAAC